CTTGGAGTAGTTTCCTCAGAATACTTTCTGGCATGTCAAGAGGAGTACAGGCTGGATCACGATACACTCTGTCGGCTATCATTCCGATTGTCTCATCCACAGGTACGTTGGTAAACAGCGATTCTACGTCCAACGAGGCTCTTATCCCTGTGGCCTGTGTGCCCCGCAGTAAGTCCACAAATTCCTTTGGAGAATTTGTACTCCTCTTGACATGCCAGAAAGTATTCTGAGGAAACTACTCCAAGCTTGTACTAAAGAGGCACCCTTCTTGAGCCCGGATGGGCACATGTATAAGCAAGTAGATGGGGTCGCCATGGGTTCTCCCCTAGGTGTCCTGTTTGCAAACTTCTACATGGGTACCATCGAGCAAAAAGTCTTAGTCGACATGAACTTGAAACCGGCCATATACTGCAGGTATGTTGACGACATTTTTACACAGGTACCTGATGTCGGACATCTGCAGGAGCTGAAGGAGGCATTTGAGCAGAGTTCCGTGCTGCGTTTCACTTACGAGACGGAAAAGGATGGGAAGCTGCCTTTTCTAGATGTAACAGTCATGGAAAAGGGCGGAGGTTTCCACACTGCAGTCTACACTAAGGAAACAAACATAGGAATGTGCCTAAATGCCAACAGCGACTGCCCCGACAGGTACAAGAGGAGTGTTGTTAACGCATACGTCGACCGTGCTCTCAGCCACAGCTCAGAATGGAAGCAAGTCGACGAAGAACTCTGTAGGGTAAGGCAGGTCCTAGTCAATAACGGCTTCTCCAATGGTTTCATCGAAGACATCATAAGAAGGAAAGTGAAAAGCCATGCAACCTCTGAAGAGACAACTAACACAACACCTATACCCCCTATTAGACTATTTTACAGGAACTTCTTTTCCACAGCTCATAAAACGGAGGAAAGGGTCCTGAAAGATATTGTTAATAGAAACGTTATCCCTACAGACAAAAATCAGAGGATACAACTGACGATTTACTATAAAACCAGAAAAACGGCCAGCCTACTCATGAGAAACTCTCCAGACACAAAACAGAACGCTTTAAAAGAGACTAACGTCGTCTATGCCTTCAAATGCCCACTTGGGGACTGTAAGCTCCAAAAAACCCAGTATATAGGCAAGACAACAACATCTCTTTCTAGGCGTTTAACGATGCATAAGCAACAGGGCTCCATTAAGGAACATATAATCTCTTCCCATAACCAAACCATCGCCAGAGAAATCCTAGTAAACAACACAGAAATCATCGATAGATACAGCGATAGCAGGCGGCTTGACGTTTGCGAGGCACTACACATCAAGAAGTCAACACCAGCAATCAACAGCCAATTATTGCACAACTATATTCTACCCACCTCAAGACTCCGCTCCAATATAGAAGCATCAAGAAATATGGACCAATAGGCTTTCTACAAACACTTCTATTCAATACCCATTGTTTCTGTTCTGTCTTGTGTTGATACTTTTAATACCCTATTAATATCCCCTCCTGTTCTGTCTTGTGTTAATGCCACATCACCCTTCCCACCTCACTCAAATGTAGATATAATATCAGAGAGACGTAAGTTCTAATCAGTTGTGTATTTGTGAAGTCTTTGAAAATGTAATAAGTTTTACGAAACGCGCCCGTGTCGCGTCAGACTAGAAATAAAAATGAATTTTGGAGAAGTGATTTTTGATTTACCTCCAACAGTGAAGCGTAATGTACGAAAGATTGAGAAAATTCGTGTTAGAATTATTAATCTTACTTTTTCGGTCATATTTAATAATATATGTCTACAGGAAAGACTGCTACCAAAATATACTAATATTTATATATATATATATATATATATATATATATATATATATATATATATATATATATATTACTGGAAAATGGAAAAGTTCATATATATATATATATAAAATGGAAAATCCAAAAGTATATATAAATGTAAATGTTCGTTCGTTCAAAATCGCTAATCTCGGAAAGTACTTCACCGATTGCTTTGAAATTTTCACACAACGTTCCATTCGCCTCTGAGCAGGTTTTTATATATATATACTATATAGATGTCACGTCTGTGACGGTAAAAAAAAAAACATGTTTTTTCTGAAAAATTGCGTTTTTCATGTGAGGGAAATCTTCGAAATCTTCGAAAGGGGCAAAACAGGGAAAGTCGGCAATCTTTACGTGTGTATTGAGCGCTCCTGGCCGGCCTTTCTTTCCTTTACCTCACGGGGAGCCCATCTTTGACATCGGCTTGCTTCTTCCGGCCAGTGTGTGCTCACTGCAGTTACCCAAGGGGGCTCCCAGCACCAAAGGGGGAGCCTCCTTAATGGACGCCTCCCTGAGCAGGGGCACTATCGACGTTGACAGCAAGTCCTAGAGAGGCAAACGTCTGTTGGAGAATGAGCCAGCTGAGATGCTAAGAGGATGTCCTCGCCTTCAGAAGACTTTCCTTCTGTGGCACCTCATTCCTCGTTTGTGGTTGTCTTAATTTAGTCAACAACAGGTCAATGTGTGCTTGCGAATTCTCGTACCTTAAGTGCAGCAATTGAGGCTTCGGTATTGTGACCACATTACCTGTCTGCGACCGTGCATACCCTTGGTAGGGGTGCAGCACTAAAGCTACACATCAGGCAGGAGGCTCTATTGCTTGTCAGTGTATCCAGCATTAACAAGTTGGGGACTGACCTGTCAGGTGCCGACAGGTATTGTCGCAGGAAAAGTCTCGGGCCAGGTACGGGAAGATTGTCCCAATTGACCCAAGTGTTGAAGTGGATGACATTCAGACTGCTCTGCAGGTGTCAGGGGGTGCATCAGCGGGATTACTGGAAGTTATCAGGATTCGCGGAACAGCAGGGCCGACGTCCATGCCTATCGTTGCTTCTCGCCTCTCGGTTCCCTCTGATTGGGACGCTTCACAAGTAAGGTCTAGCAGATGCTCTTGCCTGTTCCGGCCACACATACCTCATACCCCCCAAGCTGCTAATTGATTTTTCCCTTCTGGGTCGCCTCGACATGGACAAAAACTCCACCACGGATACAGACATGCACGCTAAGTCTCGGCCGGAGCACGGCACTCCAGCCCCTTCACAGAGAAGCCACCACCGACGTCGTTGACACACCCGTCGACCAGGAGGATTTCCTCTATTGGATAGCCTTGATGATTCTGTCATTTCCCAGGGGATTGTGACACTGGTGGAACATGAGGCCCAGAGTGAAGCACCCAACAGTCACAAGCGCTGTCAAGAGGGTTCGCGAGCCAATCACCGCTTCTGTCAGGCAGAGAGAAGCATTGCTCAACAATCTTTGGACTGGCGGTCATTGATACCACACATATTACCTACTTTGTATGAGGACTTTATGGCTTTTATTAGTGGTTCTTCTTTTGGAGATGTCTGTTCGCAGGTGGTCAGAAAGTTAGCTGCTGCATTTCAGTGATAATGGAGCCCCATTCTGAGAATACTGTGGTATTTTCGGATGCCCGTTCCCTTTTCAAGAAGACGCATTTCCTAAGCAATTTTATCGCCAGCGCACTACCGTTGATGTGGGACTCTGTGAGACTTGGCATACTGACAATCTTTAATTCACGGTGCCGGTATATTCAGTCTATAGGCAGGATCAGCCAGTATGGGATGGAGGGGGGCTTGCCCTCTTAATCAGGGACTCAGTCTCGAGCTCCTTGCTCCGGATTCACCCCCCCCCCCCTTCCTGGGCGGGCATTTGGAGTTCATGGCAGTGAAGGTGGCCCTCTTCCATGGGTGGGGCACCTTTGGAGTTCTGTATAACCCTTGTCTACCTGTAACTGCGAAGAAACTAGAACACTATTTTGGTCAGATCACGGACACCTGCCTCGTCATGGGTGACTTTAATGCTCGGCACTCATCATGGCAACCCATGCTATCGAGTTGCCACCACAACATGGCTGGCTGAGCCCATGTTTCAGACATGGGCTCAGCCATGATTCTGAATCCAAGGGAATCCTTGATTCCCCAAGACTTCTTACTGACGCCACCAGATTTGAGACCCAGATAAATCCGCTCAATGGGCATACAATGGGCCCCTTTACGATGGTGCAGATATGGATAGGATTGTACCTGAGTAGTGATCACCTGACCATCGTCATTGCCTTTGGGGGCACTGTTCGTCCTGCTCTGACCACCTGAGGATCCAAGTGGATCTTCTCGGAGGAGGGGTGGCTTGCCTGCGAGGCCCGATGACTGGTCGACCTTTCCCCCAGTTATGGCAGATCTGCATGGGTCAGTGGATGCTCTCTCCGAGTCCCTCTTCAGTTTAGGCTCTCGGCATTTCAAGAGGACTAGTGGTCAGACAACCAGTCCTTCCCGCCGTGGGGCACCCTGGTGGACTCCTGAATGTGGGCATGCAGTGCTGGACCATCGACGTGCATGGAATTCCTGGTGACGCTACCCTACACCATTGCAGCGCCAGAACTTCCGCAGGGTGGACACCAAGTGTAGGTGGGCAGTCCTCTTTGCTAAACGCAAGGCCTGGGGTGATTATTGTGCCTCTCTCCGATTTGACTCCTCCTCTGCAGGAGCCTGGGGCCTTTATTTGCAAAATGACAGGGAGGTACTCCCGGTCTTCGGAGTCTACTTCAGCGTTGGACAAAGGAAAACTTGTTGGTTGGTGAGTGACTTCCTATAGTATTCTCAATATAGATTGGTCAGCAAGCTATTGTGGTAGCCTTACACCAGGAAGTGTAGCCTGCTTCTAAGTGTAGGTCGTTCTGATAGTTCACTCTTGTCTTGAATTATGTTTTTGGTGGAAGTATTCGTGATGATTGATCAGTAAGCTGTTGTGGTGGCTTTAATAACTCTGACAGGTCTTAAGACGAACATCAGACGAACGAAAAGTTAGAACATAATCAGTTGAAATTAAGGCATTGTTGAGAAAATATAACCTGACGGAGGTTAACTACTTGTGAAGTGAGAGAATTCGCACCTAATCGTATGAAAAAGCACATTTCCAGCATCACAAAAATTTTAGGTTTTGTTCTGGACGAAGTTGAAAGTCACTCGAGCAGCAGTGATGAGCGCGCTGACTGTCCCTACCTGCAGCTGGGAGACCAGTGTCTGCTGTTCGTTAACTTCCAGAATGACACCCGTGATGTCGCCCAGGCACTATGCCAAGGTTTTGGGGGAAACTTGGTCGTTATCAAGACTGCCACGCAACTGAAAGCCATCATGGACTACCTCTATACTGTTGGTAGGTGAACTGTTTTGAGTCCTTCCTCTGTGGCCTCTACTTATTAAGTGAAGTTTTCTTGGCAAAATTTCGTGCCTATTGAATGATAAAAAAAATTCTTGCGATTTCCAGAGAGTAAACCAGGAATTATTGGAGGTATAGTTTGTTAATAGTAGAACCCTTAGATAAGAGAGAAATATTTTTTTAGAATATCAGAATATCGACTACAAAAAAATTACGTTCAAACGATTCTGTGGTCATATTGTGAGTGTAGGCATCTCTAAAGAGAGTTTTACCCCATAGATCCCTGACGAAATAATAATAATTCCAATGGAAAGTAAACAAAGTTATAGACCCTATAGAAATTACGTGGTAACATACAAATTCAAATTTGTTCAAATTTTGGATATATCAATTCCTTGTGGTATAACCCCCATTCCCAATCTTACCAAGAAAAATTTAAATAAATATATCTGTATTATTCATATGAGGCTAAAGTAGTCAAGTATATTTGTATTATTCATATGAGGCTGTAAACAAGTATATATCTGTATTATTCATAAGACTTCTAGTAAACAAGTATGCAGAATATTCGATAATTACCAGTAATAATGTCAAACCAGGACAATCCACAAGAGTGTAGTCGGCATCACAATGGTCAATAAGCCAACCCGTCCTCTTAAAAATAACGTCACTTTTGGCTCGTATGCGCGGCGTTATGGCCAAATTTGGACGTAATTTGAAATGAAATCGACTCACAAAAGTGATGTTCTGTTCCGTTTTCTATTTGAGTCGTCCGGCGTACGCGCAGAGGTTATAAGAGGACACTTTAAATTAACGTTTTTCATAACGTTTTGAAACTTTATGAGAATTTCCTGCCCACCTACCCTATCAGAGGACCCTTAACTTACTGTTGTTGAAAAAAAATCCCAAATTTATTTTCATATTTTTTTCATTTCCAAATTACGTCCAAATTCGGCCATACGGGCAAACGGCCAAAAGCGACGTTCTTTTTAAGAGGACAGGTTGAATAAGCAACATCTTTAAATATTAGACCAAAAATCGTGATTCATTTTACTTTGCAATTTGGTTAGCAAGATAAGATAAAGCATATGGAACTTACATATCACGATGTTCATGAGAGAACTCGATAAACACCTCCAAAGTATACCTGATCAACCATGCTGGAATTCATACGTCAGGCTGCGAGTAGCCACGTCCAACAGCCTGGCTGATCAACGACTCGGGCCGCAGGGACATAGATCCTCGGAATCACCACAGATTAAGGTACATGACAAATATTTTGTTAGAGCTATGAAAAGATTTTTGCTTCTTGATTTTTAAATTAACCTAATTTGCAGCAGTTAAATACCCATAAAGTATTGAGAATGAATATCAGAATAAAATTTGTGTAAATATGTAGAGATAAATTACCTCAACAATAGTTAAATAAAGACTTAACGGAAACCCGAAATACTTTTCTAATATTCCTCAAAGCTCAGAGTTCACCATCAAATATTCTCGCATTTTAATATTAGACTTTCTAATATTATATTTGTATGTTAATATTTGGATTTAGGCTTTTTCATTGTATTAGAAGGTAGTTTATATGAACAAGATCTGTAATGAAGTTATACCATGTAACAAATGGGAATATTGTTGAACAGCCGTAGTTGGAAGATAGGGTTAACACTTGTAGTGGGCACCAACAAGTGTTTTGATGTCATGGCCTGTAAGTTTGATCTCACCTTGAGAGTCTGTCAAATAGTTAATCCCATAACTACTCTTGCCACATATTGCTACTCCATGTTTCCTTTTACATATTGGAGGAATGTGCGAGAAATTAGTAGGGAGTTTGATATGCTTTACTTATGTCCTATAAATAACAATATGATCTTCTGCAGGAGACATCTCAAACTCCTACTGGATTGATGGCATGTTGGACAACAGCCTGGGCAGCTTCACCTATTCATCAGGGGAGTTAGTGCCCATGGGCACGCCGTTCTGGCGGGCATTGACCACCTCTTTCGAACCTACTGGTGACGGCCCTTGCATTCAGCTTTACCAAATTGGGCATCACTACCTGAATGACATATCTTGTGATCGCTTCTTTTTCCCTCTATGTGAATTTCCTTTCTCCTCAGCAAATGAAGGTATGTCATGTCTCAAACAGTGTCCTCAGTAACATGTTACATTTCTTGTCACTCTGCAGCATAGATTAAATGTTCTTACTCGTGAATTTTTTATCAAATTTTAAGAGTGCCAGTAAAAATATATAATTTTACTTTAGCAAACGAAATATGCAGTTATTATCTAAGTATTACGACAGCATGAATAATGTTGAAAAACCTGTTTGAAACTATAGCACCTTCGACATAACTGGAATCAAACATAATTAAAAAAATACAACAAAAAAGTTTTCAAAACATATTTTTGGAATTTGTTTAACACATTTTGCAACTATACCGTAAGTGAAAAAAGTAAGAAAAAAGTTAAATCTTTGATTATAACAAAGTTAGTGAAAGTGTGATTAGTGTGGGATCAGGGCGCTTCTCTAAAGCCCCATTCCAGGTTCCCAAGGCCTGGCGTACGGCTGTGTGGTGGTGCATGCAAGCCGCTAAAGCACTGAACATGCAATCGGCTTGCATGCACCACCACACAGCTGTGCGCCAGGCCCTGGGAACCTGGAATGGGGCTTAAGTGCAGCGCCGGACTGTATGGGACAATAGGACTATATAAATTTAATTAGTCTTATATTTCTAGTACAATTGTAATTTCTTTAAATTCTAGAAGACTTAAAACGGACTCAAGTCTTGTAGTTCCAAGATTTTTGTTGGAATCTATAACGTGCCTACTTTTATAACCTTTAAATTATACATATTATGAATAATAATAGTCCCAGATAAGAGACCTTGCGTACACCACAGTGAGTGAAACGATACTTCCTTAATATTATGTTTGTTTAAGATCTTTCAACGAGGTCCAGAAAATATTTTGCCACAAATAACAGGCTTCATTGTATCAGTTTCATTCATATTTTGCTAATACCACAAGCATAACTGGAGTAATAATATTGTAATAATTCTCGTGCATGAAAGAGTCAGAGGAGGCGGTGCAGGAGGTGGTGTGCGAGGCACCGTTCACTGCCGTGGGAGACATGTGTCTCACCTTCCTCACCCAGGAACACATGTCCTGGGAGGAGGCTGTGGGCACCTGCACCCTGCTGGGGGGACACTTGGCCATGTTTGACGACATCGAGATGCTCAGAAGCATTTACTTACATATACACGACCAAGGTAAGCATTCAACAGCGTAAACATTAATCTCTTCTCTTAGATTTAGTTTGGATGTCTAACTTCTTATTCGATTTTTTCCCAAAAAAATTAAAAATATTTACTTATAATAAATTCTAAGAAATGGTGAAACTAAAAAATAATTACAAAGTTTCAGATGGTATAGGATGCCATCCAACCCTACTAATTTTGTTAGCATTTTCCAAAAAAATATATGGAGATTATATGAAAATAATGTTACAAAATCAGTTGAAATTATTGCCTTCTATCTTATTGAGAAACAAAAGAAGTTTACCGGAAAATTTACAAAATTTCTAGTTACTTAAGATGTGACAATATACAAAAAAATATTGCAACCACGTCTCACAGATCCCAAATATATATATAAACATTGTAAAATAAATGTTTCATTAAAGTTCGTAAATTAAAAATATGTGATGTGATATAAGAAAATATTACACAAACTTGAGTTTCCATACGTTTGATCCAAAATGTTGCCATATTATTGGTCCAAAAAGTTACTATATTTTTGGTCCAAAAGTTGCCATACGTTTGGTCCAAAAAGTTGATGAAATATTATGATAACATTGTGGACATGATGAACCTCAGCTGTGTTGATATATAAATTTTGCCACACTCCCTTCCCTACCTCCCTCTCTCCCTTCCTCCCTCCCTCCCTGCGTCACACGAGTATGACCCCGTGCCACACTCTCCTCACTCACTCACTCCCTTTCTCTCTCCCTCCCTCTCTTCCTTTCTCCCTCCCTCTTTCCCTGGACTTCCCTAGCACAAATATGACCCCGTGCCACACTTCTCACCCCCCCTAATTATACCAATAGAACTCTGCACCACACTCCTTGTCACTAATATGACCTTGCTCCTTCTCTCCTTCCCCCCCCCCCCCCGCCATCTCAAATTGTTCTATCCACGTTGCTTATTGCTTTATCAATACAGTTCTCCCATTTCCAGTTTAGTGAATAAGGGTTAAGCAAACATCTATATTGATGCTCATCAACTGTTTCTTTATTCCAGCAATAGAGAGCAAATCGTTCTGGCTGGCGGGCTCAGATATGATTACGGAAGGAACCTGGCTGTGGACCAATGGCAACCCCGTTCCTATGGGTATGTTGTCTCTGACATATTTAGGAATACTGTGCACGGGGGAAATTCACACTCATATTTTTGTGATATACTAGATATAATCAAACTGTGTCACAGTAAAAGGTTCTAACAAATGATAAAATGAGAGACAAACAGGATGAAACAGAAAACAAATAAAGCGCAATGGAGGAAATAAATACAATAGAGTAGTGTACGCACCACACATGTTAGTTACGTGTCTCTCCACGTTATGTCCAGGATGTGTCTCAGGTTCCGCATGTGAAAGGCATTGAGCCGTCTCTCCTGGCGAGAGCGCAGGGTCCAGGATTCCGAGCCGTAGAGAAGTGTACTCACCACACATGCCATGTATATTTGCGCCTTGGAGTGCACTGTCTGTTTGACATTTTCCCAAACGAGCTTTGTGAACCTGGCTAGTGTTGTTGCGGCCTTCCCGATACTCCTGTTGAGCTTAGTGTCCGGGGAAAGGGTGTCTTAGATTGTGGTGCCCAGGTATACAAAATCGTGGACTGCCTCCAGCACACAGTCTGTGATGTTTATACAGGGTAACTCATTGAAGTTTTATTCTATCACTTAAGTCTTCTTCAGGCTGATTGTATGCCGAATGTGGAGCAGGCTGCGGCAAAGCGGTTGAATAGCTGCTGCAGACCTTCTGCTGTGTATTCACCTAGTTGTGCTTGCCAGGGTTGAGCTCTGCTCTTTCGGCCCCCCCCCCCCTCTCAACTGTCAATCAATCAACTGTTACTAACTACTAACTAACTTTTTCACACACACACACACACCCAGGAAGCAGCCCGTAGCAGCTGTCTAACTCCCAGGTACCTATTTACTGCTAGGTAACAGGGGCATCAGGGTGAAGGAAACTCTGCCCTTTAGTTTTTCCGGAGGGTGCCGCGGGAACGAACCCCGGTCCCTAAGTCCACGAGTCTAGAGCGCTGTCCACTTAGCCACCATCCACCCAAGGTCAGTGTGTGTGTGGAGATTGCTCTATCATCGACGAAGAGAAAGTCCCTGAGAAGTCTCATCTGTACTTTCGTCTTTGCTCGGAGTCTGGATAGATTGAAGCGCTTTCCGAAGCGCTTGTACAGAGATAGATGCCCCTCTGTGGTTGTTCCAAAGGCATGCTTGACGAGGATCCTGAAGAAAATTCCGAACAGGGTTGGAGCAGGAATGCATCCATGTTTAACACCACTGTTGATGTTGAATGGTTGAGAAGTTAAGCCGTTGTACACGACTGTGCCCTTCATGTCCTCGTGGAACGATTGTATCATGCTGAGTAGGGTGGGTAGCCAATTTTGGCCAAGATCTTGAAGAGTTCGTCTCTACTCACGAGGTCGAAGGACTTTGTAAGGTCAATTAAGGGATTTTCTCTGCTCCTTGCACTTTTCTTGAAGCTGTCTCAGGGAGAACACCATGTCAGTGGTCGACCTCTCGGCTCTGAAACCGCACTGTAATTCTGGGTACACTCGTTCAGCAAGAATCTGGAGTCTGACCAAAACAACCCTGGCGAAGAGTTTGCCAACAGCGCTGAGGAGGGGGATGACGCGATAGTTGTTGCAATCGATTCTATCACCTTTATTTTTGGAGAGAGTCATGATGATCGTATCTTTCGTGTCTTGTGGCACCGAGCCCTCCCTCCAGTACTGACACAGAAGTTCATGAAGCTCAGTTTTAAGTGCTCCTCGAGAGCACTTGAGAACTTCAGGTCGAATGCCATCGTCTCATGGGGATTTCCCTGAGGAAAGTGAATTCAGTGATTTCTCAACTTCTTCCACAGTCAGTTCAAGGTCAAGTTCTTCCATGATGGGCAGGCACTCGATTGCATCAAAGGGTCTCTACGCTGACCATGTTTTCTCTGGAGTAGAGTTCGTAGTAATGTTCCATCCAGTGATTCATCTGTTAATCACGATCTTTAATGATCTCTCCAGTGGCTGACTTCAGAGGAGATGTCCTGTTTTGTGTAGGGTCTGTTGCCTGTTTGTTCCCTTCGTACATACTTCTTATGTTGTCGACGGTGGCCACGGTCTGGATGCTGGAACAGAGTCGGAGCCAATAATCATTAGCACAGTGCCTAGCAGCTTGCTGAATTCTACTGCAGGCAGTACAGAGGGCCTGTAGGTTCCTTTCTGAGGGCAGGTTCTTGTAGGCTGAGAGAACTCGTCTCTTTTCCTCTACGAAGGGTAACAGTTTCACTGTACTGGTCTCGAACCAGTTTGCTGACTTGTTCTGCCTCTTACCGAAGATGGACATGGCAGTGTTGAAAATAGTGCTCCTGAGGTGTGACCACCTCTCGCGCTATCGCAGGATGGTCGAGGTAGGGCATTTACCAGTGCAGCAGTGAACTCCTCTACCTTGTGAAGATCACGGGTCTTGTTTACGTTAATGCGTGGTCTTCCCTCCTTTGCTCTGTGGATTTTCCGGGGTTGGAACTTTACTTTGCAAACGACGAGAGAGTGGTCGGTGTCACAATCTGCGCTCTGGAAGCTGCGGGTCAGTTTGACGCTTCTCAGATTGCTACACCCAGTAAGTACCAGGTCGAGTTGGTGTCACTGCTTAGACCTGGGGTGTCTCCAGGAAACTTAATGCTTGGGCTTGGTGATCCACTCTCTCCACGCCACTGATGTGGTCCAAGGGAAGGACAGGCGCCGATACGCTTGGCACCAGTGTCGTCGCAGGAGTTGCCAGAATGTATCTGTAAACAGTTGCAAACCGCCTTAGGGACGAGGCAGGGCCTCAAGAGCCCCCGACGAGGTCGAACCCTCGTCACGACCCTTGTGGATTTGTTTATTTGATGCATCACGCTATTGTGATTTCTGTGTGTAATGAAGTAAGGGCGAAGAGGTAGAACAGCTTATTGATAGAGCTCAGGTGCATGGGGGAAGGAGTAAAATCCTCGTTTGAGTCTCAGAGAGGCTGCAGGATCCGAGTAAGGTCGGTTATCTTGAGGTTATCTTGAGATGATTTTGGGGCTTTTTAGTGTCCCCGCGGCCCGGTCCTCGACCAGGCCTCCACCCCCAGGAAGCAGCCAGTGACAGCTGACTAACACCCAGGTACCTATTTTACTGCTAGGTAACAGGGGCATAGGGTGAAAGAAACTCTACCCATTGTTTCTCGCCGGCACCTGGGATCGAACCCAGGACCACAGGATCACAAGTCCCGCGTGCTGTCCGCTCGGCCGACCGGCTCCCTTCAGGTTCTACAGTTCTACAGGTCAGTAGAAGTTCCGGCTGCAATTCTTTTATCATGTCGTAGCTCAGTCGATTAAGGCAGCGACTGGGATCCTCTCGGACGTAGGTTCGAACCCTCGTCACGGCCCTTGTGGATTTGTTCATATGATGCATGACGATATAGTGATTTCTGTGTGTAATGAAGAAAGGGTGAAGAGGTAGCACAACTTATTGATAAGAGCTCGGGTGCATGGGGGAATTGTGTAAAATCCTGGTTTGTGTCTTAGAGAGGTTGCAGGATCCGAGTAAGGTCAGTAGAAGTTCCGGTTGCAATTCTTTTACCATGTCGTAGCTCAGTCGATTAAGGCAGCGTCTGGGATCCTCTCGGATGTAGGTTAAAACCCTCCTCACGGCCCTTGTGGACTTGTTCACCCACTTGCACCCTTCCTCTTTTGCATAGTGGTCTGAGAAATTACGACCAGACTGTCCAGTGAGCTCAACATCTGGTTCCTGGATGATGGCACTCTGGCAGGCACACAAGACTCCCTGCTGGAAGATTTGCAGCTGGTGAAGACTCGGGGGGGGGGGGGGACCCTGGTTCTCGTTCTTAAATCCTCCAAGTGTGAAATTATTGACATATGACAGCACACTACTTGGAGCACCTCTGGGCCACAATTCCATTGCTGCAGTCCTTGCGAAAAGTTTAACGACCTAAAGAAAATGGAAGAGAGAATAGGGGACTTTGACTCCCATGACACCCTCTACCTTCTCACAAAGTGCCTTATCTTGCCCAGGCTAACATACTTTTTAAAGTGTGCACCCACTTTTGGCAACCCACTTCTAAGTCAATATGATGAGATCCCCAGGTCAATATTCAGGAAGGCGCTCAACCTAGATTTAGATGACAGTCAGTGGGAGCAAGCAACACTAACTGGGGGGAGATTTGGGTGGATAGGCATATGAAAGGAAACTGAGGTAGCACTTCCAGCATTCTTATCTTCATGTGCCAACGAATTGATAGGGTAGATCCTACCAGAGCGTATGAGAGACACAGCGGAAACTCATGATCAAAAGTTCATCGTAGCAGCCAAACAATGGGAAACCATTGCACACCTTGTACCCCGACCACAAGCCCCAAAAGACCACTAGCAGGCTCACTGGGATAGCCCTATAATGGAAAAGACTGCCACAGCAATGCTTGAAAAGGCAGTGGCTGAAAACAAAGCCCACCTCCTAGCGGTAACAGCACCCCCATACCTGGTTGATACCAGGTTGATGGGGTCCTGCCTGGGATTTTTTATTTGCTGTGCCCAATACAGCCCTGGGAACTCGCCTCAATCATGACGCTCTCCACATTGGAGTTGCCTTTTGCCTTGCCGTCCTCACCAAACATAGGTGTATCTGCGGAATTGTGATGGCAGATCAATATGGTCGTCATGGTCTGGAAAATCACAGGGTAAGACTGCAAGACATGAAGAAGTAAAAAGTAAACGACATCATCAAGAGGCACCTCGCCATGGCCCGCTGCCCAGCACGAAGAGAACCACACTTATTCAGACCTAACGAACCTCTGAAGCACCCAGACAGGGTCACCTTGCTTCCTTGGAAGGATGATAAGCAAGTGATGTGGGACTAAACATGCACTAAACCCTGGCAAATACCTACCTCCACTACAGCACACACGAGGGGGCGGCGCTGCTTCTTTCAGGGAATATCAGAAAATTATTAAATACAGAAGTCTGGCACATTGCTACAGATCGATTCGGTTCGGAGACCCTCGGTCTGTGGGGAAAATGTGCATTAAAGTTCCTGAAGGAATTGGTGGACAACTTGATG